ATTGATACGTAACGAATTATTTTCAATAAAATTGAGGAGACGCTTACTCAATGAATCTATCTGAATGTGTATTACACCGTTGATCTGAATTTCTTCCAAGGCAGATCAAGGGCCGAGATTCTTTTGAACTTCTGCATCGGATAAACTAGCCAACACACCATTCATACGATCCACTGCTCCGAAAATTCCAATCTTGCTAACAAAATTCCGAACTAAAAAATTCCACAACGAAATATTCGGTAATATCCCATCACTTATCATTCTTTCAAGATAAAAATTAGCTGCTTCCAAATCAATCTGCTCACTTATCCCACATATAAGACTAGTGTAAGCAACTATATCAGGACACAACCTTTTCTCTCTCATCGATTCCAATAACCGAGTGGCGCATTCAATCTTACCATACTTACAATACGCATGGATTAGCGTATTTAATGTAAAAGCATCAATCTTTATCCCCTTTATTATCATCCTCCCCACGAGCTTATGTGCCTCGTTAAGCTCACCACACGAACATAAACCGTGTATAATCGTATTGTACGTCACTAAGTTAAACTTTACACCTCGTTTCTCCATTTCACACACAAGCTCAAATGCAAGTCTATTGTTTTTCGATTTATACAAACCGTCCAACAACTCGTTATACGTAGTAACATCGGGCCCGCACCCGTGTTTCTCCATTTCATCGAACAACTCCACAGCCCATTCGACTCTGCCTTTAAGACACAAACCTTTGATAAAGACATTGAATGTAACTGTATTTGGCGGGCACTTTTCCGACACCATAGTTTCGATAAGATTATACGCTTCTTCGAATAAAGAATTCCCACATAGTGCGTCTATCATGCATGTATACGCTACAACGTTTGGACGACAATTAAAAGATACCATCTTGTTCCATATTTCAGATGCACCAACCAAATCCCGTGATTTAGCAAAACCATCGATTAGAGTACTATACGTTGTTATATTTGGATTGCATCTATTTGCCTCCATTTTATCAAGAACGGACAAAGCACCATTCATATTGCCAGCTAAGCAGAGGCCATGAATAAGTGTATTGTAAGTAATTTCATTCGGAAAAATTCCATCTTTGGACATTTGAACAAACACATCGTGTGCTTCGATCAATCTACCTTTCAAAGATAGCCCCTTTATCAACGAAGTAAACGTGTGGGTGTTTGGATTACATCCTCGCACGAACATTTTAGCCAAGATCGCGAGAGACAGCTCAATATTACCCGAACCAGACAGAAAATTCAAAATCGTAGTGTATGTAATAACATTCGGAGCAATTCTCCTTTCATTCATCTCATCCATCAAATCGAACGCTTTCTTGATTTTCCCCCCTCGACAATATCCATTAATCAACGCATTATAAACAGGCACACTAGGGGCAAATTTGGACATCAAATCTCTTGCCTCTTCCACCTCACCGTATTTACACAAAAACGAAACAATAGTTGTACAGCTCACACTATCAGGCTCACACCCCTTATTCGACATCTCCTCAAGCAACTTGCGGGCCCCACTCAAACTATTGTTCTTACAAAGGGCCTTCAACAGAATATTATACGTATACACGTTCGGCTCCAACCCATCTTTCTTCATATTACCGTATATAGGATTGATCATAGAAAACCTATTCTCACTAAGCAATGCATCCAATAAATGGTTATACATCTTAACCGTCGGCACACAGCCAAATTCACGGATCCTATAAAACGTTTTCAACGCTTGCTCCGACGTCCCACACTGACTATAGGACTTAATTATACTAATGAATAAATCTTCCGAACAATTTACGCCTTCCAATTTCATCTGCTGCAAAAGGTACTGCACGGAATCCATTTCACCGTTGTGACCGAGTTTTTCGATCATGGTTCCGTACGTCGAAGGGGTGTGCTTAAAAGAGCATGAATTGGATATTGATTTGAAATAATCCAATGCTACAGTGATGTCATTTTCATTTTTCAATCTTTTCAAGACTTCGGATTCTTGAATAAAGATCGCAGCTTTATCATTCTGCGGCCGAAAATCAAGAACTGGGTTTGTGCTAAGGACAAAAGGGATTGAAGGCTTATGCATTTTTTTTAACAACAAAGAACAACCCTCCTTCAAATACATAATTGCTAAATTTTAAAATAAAAAAAAACAGCAATTTAAAATGAGAACAAGCTATGAAAAAAAAAATCAATAACAACTCAAATTTATTGGGAAACAAAAAAACAAACACAGAAGCTAAATCTTAAAGGATAAATCTATGAGGTGTTCTTGAGAAGTGGGGTTTAGCTCAAAAGGCGCATACATGAACACATTTAAATAAACAGAAAAGGTTGAATTTTTTTGATAAATAAACAGAAAATTAGTTAGAAATTACCTCAAAAATTAAATAAATTGAAATGGAATAATCAAATTTAGGCACTCCCTCCCTTGATTCTGCGCTCAACTGAATTTTGGCCAAGAATTTTTGTTCATCGTTAATGGGCCTTGTTTTTTAATAAATAGTAATGGACCGGGTTATGGGCCTAAAGAAGCCCGTGAGAATATGACCCGGTTTGGATTCGGATCTTCATAATACAAACCCGGGTCAACACCAAACTCGATTTACAAAACAAGTTCAACCCGTATATCACTGAATCCGGAGTCTTTTACAAAGCGGAGAAATTTTCACCGATCGCTCTCGTCTCCAGCTAAATTTCTGAAGGTATTGCTTACGCCCTAGATTAGATTCTTGTACGCATATTTCGTATATCGACTTCGTAATTTTCAGCTTGATTTATTTCTTGAACGCCATTTTTTTAGTGTTAATAGCTGCTCCGTTTATACACAGATCTGTTTAGCTTCTGAATTACTGCCTTCCGTTTTTAATTACATATATTTAGTTGATTTCGTAACCTAATTGAAATTTGATACGTTTATTATGGGTTTATGGTACTAGGATTTTGCATCTACGTTTTTGTTTGGCTTGAGAAAATCGAAAAATACCTATTTTTAATTTTTTTATTATTTACAATTACATATGTTGTTAATAATGGGTTGGAATGTGGGGGATTTGTATGTGGTTAAATTAATTTTATGTTTGTTACTGATTCCATAATGACTCATGCTTGCTTGTTATAAGTACAATGTTCACTGAAAAATTCATGTTTTATCGAAACTTGGAAGCCTCGTCAGAAATCGGACGGAGCAAAAGGCATGGACAAAAATAAATCAAGTGATGCCTTGGATGAGATACCGACTTTCAATGTCGATAATATTCAAAACAACACGAGAATTATTAATTACAGGTTTGCTCGTTACCTCACTTTTCTGTCATTTCATTTGAATCGCTATTTTCCGATTCCGGTTTTATTAGAATTTAGAGAAGTTCTGTTAAAAAATATTCTGAACCACGGTCATTTTATTCTGTTTCAGCCGCACATTTATGTCAATTATAGGCGGAGTTATTGCCGGAATTTTGGGAGTCAATGGGTTGACTGGAATTGTATTCTATTTCCTTGTCATGGCAATTACTACCGCGGGACTTGCTGCAAAGACTGAGTTTTCTGTTCATTCTTATTTTGATAGCTGGAACAGGATTGTATTTGACGGCATTTTAGGCGGACTTATGGTATGCAATTCTTCTTCTTCTTTTTTTTTTATTTTTTTCTATTATTATTTTTATGGATGTTCCCAGCAATGATTTATTAGCTGTTTATACATGAACACGTTACATTCTTGTATTATGCTAATTTCTCATATTGATATTTTTGTTTTGATTTTGGGCTACTATAGTTGACTCTATTGGTTCTTTACGGGCTTTAATTTTTTTGCTCAAGTCGGAGATTTTATCTTAGATTGTGGTTAGCTTATAAATAGTGGCTAGTCTTGCCTAGGATATAATTCCTTGGACTATGACATTATTTATATGATACACTTATCGTGCTCGCATTAGTGTTTGCTGTAGTTCTAGTTTGATAGAGTTAGCTTTTATCGGAAACTTGTGTCGATTTAAGCGTATACGATAAGTGTA